CACGGACCTACGGATGTTAGCGAGTAGTCAAATACTTGACTACCCAATAAGCCTAAGCTTATTAGATAGTCAAGTTGAGTACTTGACTACTCGCTTCCCTCCACCTTGCTGCCTCTGTATCAGAAGCAGCAAGGAGAGGAGGGGGAAGGGGAACAGGAGCCAGTTTTGGGGGGAGGGGTAGGAGAGGCTGCCACTGTAGTAATATGAAGGCCTAAAACATAAGCCAATATAGCACAGGTCTGCTCTGAGGCCTGAGGCCTAGCTAACAATGGACAAAACATGGCTAACATAAAGCAAAGCTAAGCTGTGAGCAAGAGGCAAGCCCTTGTTCACAGAACTTGGCACAAACTGGGATGAAACTGCAAAACACTAATTGGTAATAGGCCCAGGTGCAGAACAGTAATTGGTACTGGTCATAAGTTGATGGTACCACTAGCTCATTAAAAAAGACCTTGGTACCCATTCCTCATAGATACAGGCCCAGGTTCAGGAAAGAGTCTAAAATGACAGCATGGTAGATAGAGATGATCTAATCAAACCACAAGGTACCGAGTGATGGGTGGTATCTAAGTAGAGTCAGAGGGCGGTAACCTGACAAGGTCAGAGGGTGGCAACCTGACACGTCAGCAGTGAGGAGTGATTTGTTTGTACCTGTATATAAAGTGGTGTCTTGGAGGGACAGTCTTTGGATGATGTAGGGGGCAGTGGAAATTTCCCACTGATTGAGTCATTCCATTGTTACGGGGTACATATGTGTAGTGGTTCAGTAGAGTCTACTGACAACTATTACTGTACTTCACTTAACAATAAACCTGGCCTGGCACCTTCAATCCTTATCTGGTTTGTGGTCTTTGGGGTCTCTCTTGGGGTCTGTTGTGGAGACTAAGTGCTCAAGTTGACACGGCACACATCACTGAATGCACACACAAGCAGCCTTCTGGTTATAATCATAAATGGAACCAGAGACCTGTGATGACACCTTGGCAGTAAATCCCAACCACTTCCCAAAAATTGCAGCCATGAAGCAGCCCCTATAATAACCTTGCGACCCATACATGACTCCTTTTTGGGTCAGAACCCTTACAATTACAACACCATGAAATTTCACATAATATCGTAAATAATGAAATTTGCCATTTTTAATGTCCTATGATTGTGAAATTGACCAAAATGGTCCATGAATTTGGTAGGATCCAACACATTATCTTAGTTTCCCATTTTGATGATGGGGCAGTCAAAAAGTTTTCCAGATGGTTTTAAAATTGCAGACCCAGTATTTAAATATTGCTGGGACTGTGAAAACTGACTGCAGAAGTATTTGAAACCAGCCTTAGTAGTGTGATTGGACTGCACCACTGAACCCACAACAGGTCTGCTTGAATTCTGCTAGCATTAGCATTTTGCTATTCCCATCTCCCCCCTTTCCTCTATCTGGGTACCTAGAAACTTTCTGAGACTGATTTTCAGTGCATTTTGAACAGAACAGGACTGAATCCATATAGTATGTGCGACCTGGTTATTGGTTTATTTCGAAACTTCTATCTTGTCCTCCCCAATCTGAGCTTTCACTCAGAACAGGTCACATGAGAATTTGTGCTGTGCTCCTTATTGGCTAACATCATTCTTGTACGGGGACAGTAGCCCATGTTTGCAGAAGCCATTTTGGTTTCTCAGTTGGGTAAGGTTGTTTTTCATTTAATTCTCTTTGATTCACCTGCACAAATCCATAAAAGACAAATCTTTTTTGGATTTTTCTGCATTTTTCACTCTGCCAGACAAAGGCCTACTAAGCTTACACAATTCCCCAGTTGTTTGGGACAGGCTTTGGTCTTTAATATTTTGCCTTAAAAAATTCTCAAGCTTGAGAGTTGATGGTGCTCCATCACTTCTTATCTAGATGTCTAAAATGACTTTAGTAGCAAACTCTTGACAACTAATTTTAAAAATTACACCTTTAATGACATACATTTTTAAGTGGACTATCTAAATTGGACACAATAATGTAGGTGATGGGCAACTATTCTTTAACAGAACCTCATAATATTTTCTGTGTCTTCCACTCCTGTTTAATGCACCTGAGCATCTACAAGGGGCTTTCATCACTTGTCTTGGAAGACACTTTGTAGTAGTTCCAGTAAACAGTTTTTTTGATATCTCCCTGAAACGTTCTTTGTTTCATTTTGTCTCAATATTCATAACTGTGTCTCCCGGCACCATCCTCAATAATTATTCTCTCCTCCCACAGACAGTTATATCCAATTGTGGTTATTATTTAGCCAAATTTTACATTTACAATCCTTTTTAAACTTTCTTCATAAATCAATTTCTCCAGCCTCCTGATCACTTTTTCTTCTTCTTCTAAATCTCTAATTGGTGAGTGTCTCTTTTGCATGTGGGTTTACAGAACCAAAATCCATGTCTTATCTGTGACAGACCATGATGTCTATGATTCAGATTTGCTGTCTGACTAATAATACTACCTAGCTTTTATATATTGTGTTACTTTTTTGGAGTGCCTTACCACATTGCATTTCAAATTAAGATGTAATTTGCTGTGTGCTATCACCCGCAGGCTCTTTCAACATTCCCAACTGTCTCTTTCCCATTAGTATCTTTGCTTTAGGTTATCTTTCCCCAGATGCAGTCACTCATGTGTAAACAGGTCTAGGTGATTGACTGCAGTTGTTTTCTCACTTGGCTCCCTAACATCTTCCTTAGTCAATTGCTATTAGGAACACAGTTTAAATTTTTGCATGGGAAAGGAATTCTCTTTCTCTGCTACAAAGACTGATCCAAAAGCTCACATTTAATTTATTGTATGCACATCCCCAATAGCTGTTCTCTGGGTAGTTTTCTCCTCTATTAAAATGTTCTACTTTTAAGAGGTGAACAGTTAAGGTAGTTTTCAGAGTGTAAAACAGAGCATAGATAATAGATGCAAATGTCAACTTCCTTATATAATTTAGGGAAAAATTCTGTTTCCAAATCCACAGTGCAAAGAGATGATCCTCAGCTGACATAAACTGTCACAGGCTGCAGTTAATGGACCTGTGACAATCCACAACAATGAATGATCTGTCCTCAGAGCACTAGTGTTGATTCTGCCTTTACTCCATGTGGGGACTATCATTTATGTCCAGAGGAATATTGTGCATGACACAAACAGAGAACAAAAAAATCTGTCAGGGAACTTGGTGAGTAGCGTTTTGTCCTTCAGTTTTAACTAACACTTTTCTGTATCTACCCTACCTACTTCCTACATGTTCTCATGGTTTAACACCCCAGATGGTTTAACACCCCCCCCATGGGGAAAAATACTGTTGAGGGGGAAAAAAGGGGGGAGACCAAAGTCGTTGAGCAAAAAAAAAAAAGGAACCCGAGAGTTATTAAGCAAACAAACAAAAAAAATAAAACAGCATTTAAAAAGCAAGGCCCCTTTAAGTGCGTGCAGAGTCAGAATAGGGATAGGAAGTGGGGAGAGGTTGAGCACTAAGACCCAGGGAAGGCACTGCTTCCCCTTGCTTCAGGTCGTTAGGTTTTTTGCTGGCAGCCATCTTGTTTTCTTGATCGAGCCAGAAGGCAAGATACTTACGGAATCAGGTAAGTAGGGAGTCAGGGGCCCAGGGGCGGGGGATCTGGGGAGGGGATCCGGGGGCTGGGCCCAGTTACTGAGTGTGTCGTAGGGTTGCCAGGTGTCTGGTATTTTCGCCTCCTGGCAGGGAAAAACCCAGAAAATACCGGACATTTTAGGTGTCCAGTATTGTCTGATATTTTTTACCGGACAGGAGGCGAAAATACCTGACCGCCCAGGTCAATACACTCCCTGCCTCCTGCCAACTACCCCCAGCTTTCTTATTTTCCACTTTCACCACTTTAATCTCCTGCTCATTTGATAAATGTGGCAGAAGCATTTTAAATGCTGTTCTGTCACAGAAGGCCATGTTTGCCTGAAGCACCTGCTGATAGCTCTGCTAAGGCCTGCCTCAGTTTTCTCTGAACTCAGGCTCCCTAAAAGAGTCCATACAAGGCCTGATATTCTCCCTTCTAGGGTCTAATTTATTAAGTCCTGAACACAGTTTTTCAAAGCAGACTCTACCCTATAGGTCTCACCTCAGATTTAGCTGGGCCCTGCCACTCTTCCCTGAGGATCCAGCTTATCTTTTAAAGTTCCTTTCTTTTGCCCCAGTCCCAAGCTGGTCATAAGCCCTAAGGGTCTGTCATCTCGCCCTCCAGTGCCCCTTGATTGGAGTTTGGCCTTCTCCACACAGGCCTCCTCACTGATTAAGGACGTGCAGGAGCCACCCATCTCCCTGCCCTGTTGCATAGCAAGTGTACTGGATCCCATTCCCTTTTAAGGGGGCCAGTCCTTCAGTGGCCATGGGTTATCCTTGATCTTTCCTCTGACATTCAATCTAACTCAGGGCAGCACTGAGGATGTCCACCCATGTTTCTTGCTCCAAGACTCAACTACTGGGTTTTCTATGCAGGCAAGTACCTCTGTAAACATTTTGGGTTTCTCTTTATGTGCCCATTTTTTTGCCCAGCTCTGTTTGAGAGAATAGCTGGTTTTTCTGGACACTGGGCCCAGTTTTTGTTTAATTTTGTCTACGGAGGGCAGTTTTGCAGATGTTGTACTCAGAGATGAGCGCTTTGTAAGTGTTATAAAATAAATAAAATAAAATCTGTCTCTTGTCTGCAAGTAAGGACCAGGAATTTAAAAAACACTCTGTGATTGCTACTCACTAGTGAAATATATCCAGTCATTACCAAGTTACCAAAATAAATTAAATAATTTATAAGAACTCCATAAAACACTTCAAGTTAGCTTCAGCATGCTTGAACAATTCAAGTAAAGTTCTAGAATCAAATAAAATACAGTTCTAGTATCAAATCTGCTCACTATGACAGTAAAGAGGCCACCAGCTTTGGATTCTACGTCTGAATTTTGCAAAGTGATTTTATTTTCAGAATTAAAGAAATAAACAGTAAGAAAAACTTACCGTGTATTCTGCTCCCAGTTTGTCCATTGGTAAGAGAAGGCAAGAGAGAAAACAAAAGTAGAATAAAATAATGATGCAAATTATGTTCAATAAATTCAAAAGTATATTAATAATCAAAATCATTGGGTTGAATGACTTACACTTCACTGTGAAATCCCAGTGGAGTCTAAGGGATAGCATGGGTTACAAGTCAGCATGACATTTAACATATAGTATCTAAAGGTCTAATGCAGAAACATAAAGGGGGAGACAGTAGCACAGTATAATGTTTAAAATCTTTACCCATCTATAGTTTCTGCATATTACTCATATTTCTTGGTAACAGCAAATGATGGGAAATAAAAATATGTAGTGGTAATATAGGAATTGTTCAAATATTTTAACATCTGCCTCTAGGTATATGACACGTGGCCTTTAAAGATAAATAAAATTATCCACAATAAACTTCCAATGTTTTCAGTTTGCTTTGAGTACTTACCTGTGATTGTATAAGGATAATAATTCCAAGCCTTCTCTGTAATGTAAAATATTTTGGGAACAACTGCTCTGGCCCAGCTAGGTAGTTTGCTGCAAAGAAAGGAAATCCCAAATTAGACTATTTTTTGACTTGCGAGAATTCCCCTTCACACTTTTCAAGCTAAGAAGATTTAAAGTAGGGTATGTGGATTCACAGCATTGGTCATGTGAAGACTCAGCACAGGTCATAACACACAATGTGTACTTTATAGAATTCTTAGCACAAGGAGACAGCCTTTACTAAGGGTACTCAGCAAGGATAATAAACAGGCCTAGTCAGTCTGATTGTTACATCTCCCTAGGCAGTTTCTTCCTTTGTATTCTCTACTGATGCATAAACTCTTGTACTCCATTAACCCCAAATCCTGATTATGAGATAGTATTATTAGCATACAGAAAATACTATGTGGCAATTTTAAAGAGTTTTATATTCAAATTTTTCAAATGAAGAGGCTGATCCAGAATGATAAAGAGCCAGATTTAGATGGAGGACCTTTGACTTCCAGTTCAGTCTGCCAGCCAGTTTTCTAATACACTAGTTACTATCCTGCTTGACTAAGAAAACCCTTAGATAATGAGAGAGAGGACATGATTTTTTGTGGTCAAGAAAATCGCCCCACAGAAACTGAGATCAGACATGCAGAAATACCTCTGATACAGTAACAACACAGATGACTTCTGGGGGCTTATAGCAGGCAGAAGCCAGTGCAGTATTCAGTTGTTATTATCTATATTATCATAATACTTAAGAGCTCAGTAGGCTATGTCTACACTGCCTTTTTTTGGCAGAAGATATGCAAATTGTGCTCTCATTTGCATATCGTCTGCCGATCCTTTTTATGGAAGAGGTTTTGCCGCTAAAAAGCCCCATGTAGACGGGGCCAATTGTTGGAAAAAAAACCTTTTTTACAAGATTCCTTATTCCTCAAAAGATGAGGTTTACAAGATCTTGCGAAAAAGGGTTTTTTCTCCGATAAATGGCCCCGTCTACGGGGGGTTTTTTAGCGGTAAAACCTCTTCCGCAAAAAGGATTGGCAGAAGATATGCAAATGAGAGCGCGGTTTGCATGTCTTCTGCGGAAAAAAATGGCAGTGTAGTCATAGCCTCGGTATTCTACAAGCACATTATGAAAAGACCCCAACACCTCACAGCTAAGTAATTGCTTTTGAATACCCACATGTCAAAATGACAGCCCCAATTAGGCACTATCACTACCAGGCTGGGGTCAATTTTTGGATGTGGTTTTGGGGGGATTTTTTGCTTCTCACTTTTGTGTGACCCCTGACTGATTTTTCTGTGGGTCATCGGCCCCCAACCCAAAAAAGGCTCCCCACCCTTGCCTTACGTCAGTGACACAGTGAATGGGAGCTGAGGACCCTGAAGAGTCTGACGCGGGGCATGTGCAGTAAGAAGGAAATGGAGAGGTATTTGCCTATACCACTTTTTATGCTCTCAGTTTGGAGCACAAGGAAAGCTACGGCATGTGTGCAGGCTAGTGGGCACTGCCTGCAGAAAACTGCAGACTTGGGCACATGAACAGATGTGCATCTTGCATGTGGAATACACATAGGGTATGTCTACACTACCCCGCTAGTTCGCACTAGCGGGGTAATGTATGCATACCGAACGTGCAAATGAAGCCCGGGATTTGAATTTCCCGGGCTTCATTTGCATAAGCCGGCCGGCGCCATTTTTAAATGCCGGCTTGTTCGAACCCCATGCCGCGCGGCTACACGCGGCACGGGCTAGATAGTTCGAACTAGCAAG